GTATTACTGTATGAAACAAAAATAACCATCCGGACAAAAGACCGTATTATAGTAGTTTGCAATAACGTGTAAAAATTTTCATTCCATATTTACTTTGTTTCACTTTGCTTCAAAAATTAATCATTCGGTTAAAAGTCCATATCTAGACATTATTAATAATGCAAATCCTTGCTTGCCAAATATTTAAACCCTCTCAACTGCTCTACCATCACTTCTCATAGCTTCAAATATCAAATAAAAAAAGGATCAAAATCAAAATCAAATATTCACAATGGAAGAAAATCTTCTAGTTTCAGTTTACGTTGATAAGGAGTCCAAATTCTCGAATCAGACAATGAATATCGATTATGCCTTCGCATTCAATCAGTTTGTAAAAAAGCTTTACCCGAATGCTGGTAATTTTGAAGAGTTTAATGCACAACCGAATAAGGACAACCGCATCCAATATTCTTTGAATCTCACGAGCGAGAGTTTTCTGAATCCCGAATACAACATTGAAAACAGCTACTACAGAAATTTAAAGATTAGCATGAATTATAACAACATCAACATCTTATTCATCCTGGTTAAGGATTACGAGCATGTATCTCATATAGAGCTTTTGACGGATGTTACTATCACCATCGATCCGATCAATGATTTATTATTTAGATACCAATCGGATAAGATTCAAGAATTTAGAACTATCCTTCGAAGATATAATCCACAAAATATTCTTAAAGTTTGTGAAAAGGACAGCGTTGTTACCATTTACAATAAAAAATCTTTAAACTTTTATTGCAAGCAACACCTTGATGTAAAGAATATCAAGGTCCAAAAGAGGATGATTGATATCAGGAAATATCAGATCAAGTTAACACAGGAGGAAATCGACAAGTTAATGTTTAAATATTTGAATAAAGCTGTAAACGCAAGTGTTAATCCAAAAAAATTTTCAACGTTACATTTAAGAAGATAAATAATGAAAAATATATTGATCAATTAAAATATTTTCATGGGAATATGATTTTCAACGATGAAACACGTAAAATGATCGCAGAAACTGTCAGGAAAATTTTCAATAGTGTATTCAAGAACATCTGCGAATGCGAACGACAATGGTTCTTTAAGGCCGTGAAAGCCAATCTGTGTGTTTACTTTTTAACCTATTTAAAGAACATGAGCTACGATGTTGCATTCACGCATTCTATTGAGATGACTCCCAGATGCATTAAAACTTCAAGGTATAATTTGAAGGAAAAAAGCTCCAGTATACATGATCCGTACATAATTGAAGATTGAAAGAAATTATTTTTTCATAAACATTTATTGACAAATGTATTTTTTAAAAAGCATTTAAATCAGTTTTTTTTCATTACTATCAATGATATATTTTTGATCGAATTTATTTAAGTAAACACAAATAAAAGATATTTTCAATAGTTATATTATTTCTCTTAAATAAATAAATCACTTTAATTATTCGTTAACAATGCGAATAATTGAAGCCATTTATTACACAGTAAAAGTAATATAAGTGTACCATACTATTCACTCTTTTTATCAATGAAATTGAAATAGAAATAAGTCTTTGTCCGAAAGGCTATTTTTTCAGTGGCAGCTTTTAAGTTAACATTTTCATATTTTTGGTTCCAATTACAGTACGATCGACCATCGCGTGGATCACGTGGACAAGACACTAACTGATCGTTTCTCTTTTCGTCAAGTACATGAACTATTTTTATTTTATATTTTTAATAATAAAACTAGCCACTTAATGTTTATAGCCTTAATCAACTTGGTTTTGAGGGTGGGAAGTACAAGAAAACATTTTATCTAAAAAATAAAATAAAATAAAATAGGTGAGCTTTATTTATTTAATAAAACCAACATTCAGATATGAACAATGTCAATATTGAATCGCTCCAATATAACCTAGACCCTAGGATATTATATCTATTCTATATACATCAATATTTTATAAATAAATCTGCTTAGTGGTATTAATTGACATACTCACGTGTTTGATATTCTTTTCAGGAGTATTTAATTCTAATAAAATTGGTTCAGAAAACAGAAAAGCACCAATACTCTGTAAAAACTCAATTTTGATTTTTCTGGATAAATTTAACAGCTGTACTTAGCAAAAACTCTACTTCTATTGACTTTAGCAATAATAAACTTAATTCTGCGGTCCCATGAGATCGCATCGATCGAATGTGGGCATTTGTTTTAAGAAAACTGTCTTCTTTTTTTATATAACAATTTTTATAATGATAAATATACAGTTAAAAGCTTGATACGTAAATAAACTAAATGCGCAAAAATATTAGCTAAAGGAGTAGAGAAATTAGTAAATTTATATTAATCAAGTTAATTAATTAATAAGTTTGTAAATTTATTTTATTTTTTTTTAATATTACGAGACTGTAAATTTATATTATTAATTAGTAAAATAATTATAATGACTTTAACTAAATTTGTTTATTGCTCATAACTATTAAATCAAGTTAATATGTATTTAAGATTATGATTTTAAATCAAGTTAATATGTATTCAAGATTATGATTTCCTTAAATTTCG